GCTCTGACTCGTTGTTACTTGCTCTGACTCGCTGTGACTCGCTATGACTCACTCTGACTCGTTGTGACCCGCTCTGACTCGTTGTTACTTGCTCTGACTCGCTCTGACTCGCTGTGATTCGCCATGACTCAGTCTGACTCGCTGTGACTCGCTGTGACTTGCTCTGACTCGCTCTGACTCACTGTGACCTGCTATGACTCGCTGTGACTCGTTGTGACTCACTCTGACTCGCTGTGACTCGTTGTGACCCGCTGTGACTCGTTGTGACTCGCTCTGACTCGCTATGACTCGCTATGGCTCACTCTGACTCGTGACCCGCTCTGACTCGTTGTTACTCGCTCTGACTCTCTGTGACTCGCTATGGCTCACTCTGACTCATTGTGACCCGCTCTGACTCATTGTTACTTGCTCTGACTCGCTGTGACTCGCTGTGACTCGCTGTGACTCGCTATGACTCAGTCTGACTCGCTGTGACTCGTTGTGACTCGCTCTGACTCGCTGTGACTTGCTCTGACTCGCTATGACTCACTCTGACTCGCTGTGACTCGTTGTGACCCGCTCTTTCGCTCGTTGTGACCAGCTCTGACTCATTGTGACTCGCTCTGACTTGCTTTGACTCGCTGTGACTCGTTGTGACTCGTTGTGACTGTGACTAGCTCTGACTTGCTTTGACTCGCTGTGACTCGCTATGACTCACTATGACTCACTCTGATTTGTTGTGACTCGCTCTGACTCGCTGTGACTCGCTATGACTCACTCTGACTCGCTCTGACTCGCTGTGACTTGCTCTGACTCGCTATGACTCACTCTGACTCGCTGTGACTCGTTGTGACCCGCTCTGACTCGTTGTGACTCGTTGTCACTTGTTGTGACCAGCTCTTACTTGTTGTAACTCGCTCTGACTCACTGTGACTTGCTCTGACTCGCTCTGACTCGCTGTGACTCGCTCTGACTCGCTATAACTCGCTGTGACTCACTCTGACTCATTGTGACTCGCTGTGACTCACTCTGACTCGTTGTGACTCGCTGTGACTCGCTCTGACTTGCTCTGACTCGCTCTGACTCGCTATGACTCGCTGTGACTCGCTATGCCTCACTCTGACTCGTTGTGACTCGCTGTGACTCGCTCTGACTCGCTGTGACTCGCTATGACTCACTCTGACTCGTTGTGACTCGTTCTGACTCGCTCTGACTCGCTTTGACTCGCTGTGACTTGCTATGACTCACTCTGACTCAATCTCACTCGTTGTGACCAGCTCTGACTCATTGTGACTCGCTCTGACTCGCTGTGACTCGCTATGACTCACTCTGACTCGCTATGACTCAGTCTAACTCGCTGTGACTCGTTCTGACCCGCTCTGACTCGCTGTGACTCGTTGTGACCAGCTCTGACTCTTTGTTACTCGCTCTGACTCGCTGTGACTCGCTATGACTCAGTCTGACTCGCTGTGACTCGTTGTTACTCGCTCTGACTCGCTGTGACTTGCTCTGACTCGCTATGACTCACTGTTACTCGCTATGACTCGCTGTGACTTGCTATGACTCACTCTGACTCACTGTGACTCGTTGTGACCCGCTCTTTCGCTCGTTGTGACTTGCTGTGACTCGCTGTGACTCGTTGTGACCAGCTCTGACTCATTGTGACTCGCTCTGACTTGCTTTGACTCGCTGTGGCTCGTTGTGACTCGTTGTGACTAGCTCTGACTTGCTTTGACTCGCTGTGACTCGCTATGATTCACTATGACTCACTCTGATTTGTTGTGACTCGCTCTGACTCGCTGTGACTCGCTATGACTCACTCTGACTCGCTTTGACTCGCTGTGACTCGCTCTGACTCGCTGTGACTCGCTCTGACTCGCTGTGACTCGCTATGACTCACTCTGACTCGCTTTGACTCGCTGTGACTCGCTCTGACTCGCTGTGACTTGCTCTGACTCGCTGCGACTCGCTATGACTCACTCTGACTCGCTGTGACTCGTTGTGACCCGCTCTGACTCGCTGTCACTCATTGTGACCAGCTCTTACTCGTTACTCGCTCTGACTCGCTGTGACTTGCTCTGACTCGCTGTGACTCGCTCTGACTCGCTATGACTCGTTTGACTCGCTATGACTCATTCTGACTCGTGACTAGCTGTGACTCGCTCTGACTCGCTCTGACTCGCTATGACTCGCTGTGACTCGCTATGCCTCACTCTGACTCGTTGTGACTCGCTCTGACTCGCTGTGACTCGCTCTGACTCGCTGTGACTTGCTATGACTCACTCTGACTCGATCTCACTGGTTGTGACCAGCTCTGACTCATTGTGACTCGCTCTGACTCGCTGTGACTCGCTCTGACTCGCTCTGACTCGTTGTGACCCGCTCTGACTCGCTCTGACTCGCTGTGACTCGCTCTGACTCGTTGTGACCAGCTCTGACTCGATGTTACTCGCTGTGACACGCTCTGACTCGCTATGACTCAGTCTGACTCGCTGTGACTCGTTCTGTCCCGCTCTGACTCGCTGTGACTCGTTGTGACCAGCTCTGACTCTTTGTTACTCGCTCTGACTCGCTGTGACTCGGTTTGACTTGCTGTGACTCGCTATGACTCACTCTGACTCGTTGGGACTCGTTGTGACCCGCTCTTTCGCTCGTTGTGACTTGCTGTGACTCGTTGTGACCAGCTCTGACTCATTGTGACTCGCTCTGACTCGCTTTGACTCGCTGTGACTCGCTCTGACTCGCTGTGACTCTCTAAGACTCACTCTGACTCGTTGTGACCCACTCTGACTCGTTGTTACTCGCTCTGACTCGCTGTGACTCGCTATGACTCAGTCTGACTCGCTGTGACTCGTTGTGACCCGCTCTGACTCGCTGTGACTCGCTGTCACTCGTTGTGACCAGCTCTTACTCGTTGTTACTCGCTCTGACTCGCTGTGACTTGCTCTGACTCGCTCTGACTCGCTGTGACTCGCTATGACTCACTCTGACTCGTTGTGACTCGCTCTGACTCGCTGTGACTCGCTATGACTCACTCTGACTCGCTTTGACTTGCTGTGACTCGCTATGACTCACTCTGACTCGTTGTGACTCGCTCTGACTCGCTGTGACTCGCTCTGACTCGTGACTCACTCTGACTCGCTGTGACTCACTCTGACTCGCTGTGACTCGTTGTGACCCGCTCTGACTCGATGTTACTCGCTGTGACTCGCTATGACTCAGTCTGACTCGCTCTGACTCGTTGTGACCCGTTCTGACTCGCTGTGACTTGTTGTGAGCAGCTCTGACTTGTTGTTACTCGCTCTGACTCGCTGTGACTCGCTATGACTCACTCTGACTCACTCTGACTCGTTGTGACTCGTTCTGACTCGCTGTGACTCGCTCTGACTCGTGACTCGCTCTGACTTGCTATGACTCAGTCTGACTCGCTGTGACTCGTTGTGACCCGCTCTGACTCACTGTGACTCGTGACCAGCTCTGACTCGTTACTCGCTCTGACTCGCTGTGATTCGCTATGACTCACTCTGACTCGTTGTGACCCGCTCTGACTCGTTGTTACTCGCTCTGACTCGCTGTGACTCGCTATGACTCATTCTGACTCGTTGTGACTCGTTCTGACTCGCTGCGAGTAGCTCTGACTCGCTTTGACTTGCTGTGACTCACTATGACTCACTCTGACTCGTGACTCGTTCTGACTCGTGACTCACTCTGACTTGCTACAACTCGCTATGACTCAGTCTGACTAGTTGTGACCCGCTCTGACTCGCTGTGACTCACTCTGACTCGCTCTGACTCGTGACCCGCTCTGACTCCATGTTACTCGCTATGACTCTTTCTGACTCGCTGTGACTCGTTGTGACCCGCTCTGACTCGTTGTGACTCGCTCTGACTCGCTATGACTCGCTATGACTCTTTCTGACTCGCTGTGATTCGTTGTGACCCGCTCTGACTCGTTGTTACTCGCTATGACTCATTCTGACTCCTTGTGACTCGTTCTGACTCGCTGTGACTCGCTCTGACTCGTGACTTGCTCTGACTTGCTGTGACCCTAACAGCCAGAAGCTTATGTCTGAAATAACCTGAAGTTAAAACATTTCAGTGACTCCTGAAGATTTAACCAACATGGTTAAATGGAAACTGAACTTTGTTCCCATCAGTAACCCAGAAATAAGCGATTTGAGCTTCGAGTTTAAAGGTTTAAACACTTAATAAACCTGGATGTGCATTAAGATGCTAAAAGCTAAAATCTGAGGTTAAACTGTCCAACAATCTGTTTATTTTTAATGAATGTAATCACATCTTCCCCTCATGATGCTCAGAGCTGGAATTAGTTCTTAGTTATTGGGTCAATCAGACCTGCAGAAGAGAGGAAGTGATGTCACACGCTGCTTCCTGTGTCTGGTCCAGACGCTGCGCTCGGCCGGGAAGACCTACATGGTGTTCTTTGTGGTGGTCATCTTCCTGGGCTCCTTCTACCTGATCAACCTGATCCTGGCCGTGGTCGCCATGGCGTACGAGGAGCAGAACCAGGCTACCATCGCCGAGGCGTGTCAGAAGGAGCGCGAGTTCCAGCAGGCCATGGAGAGACTGAAGAAAGAGCAGCAGGTGGGTCGGGGTCAGCAGGTCACGACCTCCAAACCGCTTCGGCCTTTTGACCGGAACTCCTCCGTCCTCCAGATGGCGGCGCAGAAACCGCCGGACTCAGAGTCCCTGACCTCACCAGACCTGTCGCCTCTTGGGCCGCCGCTGGACAGCTCCGAGGAGCGGAGGCGGAGCCAGGCGCTGATGGGTGTGGCCGACGGGGAGGGGAACTTGTCGGAGGAGAAGCTGCTGCAGGTGGACTTGATGGACGGGGGAAAGGTGAGTCTGAACCGGCGCAGGGCTTCGCCCTTTCAGAATAAAAGCCTCACGGCTTTGCGCCGCCAGGCCCTCCATCCTCTCCTCGCTCGCTCCTTCTCCACGCGGACGCGACGAAGCAGTCAGGTGTCGTCCATCTTTAACTTCGGCTGAGGAGCCGAGGGTCGGAAGGCGAGATGGCGGACGACGAGTTCAGCGTTCCCGGCGACGTGGTGGACGGCGTCGGCGGCAGGACGTACAGCGGCGGGACGTTCAGCGGCATCCTGACCAACCCCTGGCCCAAACGCCGACTCAGCACCTACAGCACGGCCAGCAGGAACTCGCAGGTGAGCCGCCGGTCCGAAAGGAAGGTCAGTAGGTCAAACAGCCACAGATTCCTGCTGCATACACGTCACTGGAGGTCAAAGGTCGACATACAGTCCGGCAATGGAAAGCAGAAAAGATCAAGTAATATTTAATTTTTTGTCCATTTCATAGTAAACAGAACCACAAACATCCAGTGACTTATTGCAGAGCAAAGTTTATTAGGATAAAACTCAACAAAAACAGGAGATTTAAATGTTTCTGCAGGTTTGGTTGAAGCCGTAAACCTGCAGGTCGAGACATTAAAATATCGGATTTTATTCATAGTTCATAAAACATTCACCTTTTGAGTCAATGAAGAAAAAACTTGTTTTAGCAGGAAAATGTTTGCCGATCCATTTGGTTTGGCTCCTCCCCCTTATGACATCACAGCTCAAACATGGAGGCCTTGCCGCGGGCAGCCTGTGAGTCTGACTAGTTAACCTCTGACCTCTGCCTTCTGACCCCTTCCAGGTGTTTTATCCCACCCTGAACGTCAACGGGAAGCTGTTTGTCTCCATGGACCAGAACGGGGTCTCCCCGCCGCCGCTCCAGGGGCAGCTGCCCGCCTGCACCATGGAGAAGGTCAAGGAGGAGAGTGTGAGTTTGGAAACACGGCAGCCGCGACACACACACACACACACACACACACACACACACACACACACACACACACACACACACACACACACACACACACACACACACACACACCCCACACACCCACCCACACACACACACACACACACACACACACACACACACACACACACACACACACACACACACGTCTGAATCCACGCTTCGCATAGCTGCGCTCTGAAATCATGGACACACACACACACACACACACACACACACACACACACACACACCACCCGGCTCAGATAACACCGGCCCACAGAACGCAAACATACCAACAGAGACACAGAGAGACGCTCTGTTGACCAACCTGCTTCATCAATCAATCAATCAGTTATTATTTCATGTTTCACCTGCGACCAAAGTCACAAACAGAACCAGAACCTGAACAGAACCAGAACCTGAACAGGACAAGTCCAAGTCCTTCCCCAGCACTATTTTTATGTGCTATATTTGTCCTGTCGCAATAAGCAATAAATGAGTAAATAATGAATCAATAAATCAATAAATCAGTGAATCAGTAAATTAATAAACCGATCACATGATAAATTAAGAATAATAATTTCTATTTGCATAATTGATCGTCTAACAGTTTGAACTGTGGGTCTGTTCTGGTTCTGGAGATTTTACCTTAACGACGCCATGATGGATGAGTCCAAAGGTCCTAGTCAAAGTATGTTGTACTCCAGGTCTACCAGGAGTCCCTGGAAGTGAATATCAGGTTGACAGTATCGCAAATGAGCGTTAGCAGCTTTAGCACTGTGACCTTTGACCCGGGCCGACCCAGGGAATGCCGCTCCATGAAAATCGCATGTGAGGTTTGGCTGAGCGAAGCGGCGAATCGTTTGTGCTGAAGCTAACGCTAACGTGGCGACGTTTGTCATGTCTGCTGACCTTAAAGCTGCGGCAGGCGGATTATGCAATCCTGTTTCTGGAGCGTCGCAGATTCACCGAATCACAAAGACCAACGATAAACGGTTTTTATTCAGTTCAGAGTCACAAAGGCAGTTTGGTGTCTGGTTTCCTCAGACGATGTTTATTCCCAAAAAAATGCAAACATGCAGTTCATGTTTCAGATCTAAAATGATTCACAGCTGCATTTCTGCAGAAGTCTTATTAAATTAATGGTTCGTTCGTTTTTCTTCTGGTAAAAGAAAAAAAAAACAGAAAAAAAACTTAAAATTTGAAAAACAAAATGAATTTTTGAGCCTCAATTCTCTTCAGCTCACTCTTTAAGTTTGGACATGACTGGAGAACTGCCTCTGGCTGCAGCTGCGTTTGTCTGATTCAGGTCCGGACTTTGACTAGGCCATTCTAACACATGGATAGATGGATTTTTTTCCCTCCTCTCCAGTCTCAGCTCTTCAAACAGATTTTCATTTCGTTTTAACCTGAAATACTCCATCTTCTTCATGAGATTGGGCTGGCTTCCCCATCCCTCATCATGATGCTGCCACTACCATGTCTCAGAATGTTCATCACATGTTGGTCAGAAAGTTCAACTTTCAACTGTTTGCTACTTTTCTCTGGTTTCTATGGTTCTGATTCGGAGCTTCTGGAGGTTTAGTTTCACTTATTTTTGTTTTGGGTACCAGATAAAAGGGGGACAGAAACAAAAGCACACCACACTTTTCAGATTTTGTGTTTCTGTTTTGTTCTTCTCTGACCTGCTCAGTCACATGAAACCCAACCAGACGTTGGTGTTGAACCGGATGAAAGGTTGGGAGGAACTGCTGATGTTGGTGTTTCTGGTTGAGTCCGGATCCCGTCTCAGGCGTTCCAGGTTCCATCAGAACCTCTGATTTCCAGGTTCCATCAGAACCTCTGATTTCCAGGTTCCATCAGAACCTCTGATTCCTCCGTGTTGGGCCGGTCAAACCCGTCCTGGAAACGTTCCCTGCGCTGCCGGGGCTGAGTGGGAGTTCTGCTGGCCTGAGCTCGGGTTACGGTGTCATGTTGTGACACAAAGCGTTCTGCCTCCATCAGCTCAGAGCCGCGTCCTGCAGCTCTGAGTGGGAGGCGGACGCAGACAGCACATGCTTTATTAGCAGAGAAATGTCACCATGGCGACCCGCGGCCGCCGCAGGAAGCCGAGCGAGAGCCGGTGGGAGTTCACCGCCGCCACAGAGTTTCCCTGCCGGTGCTTCCCTGCGGCGGCAGACGGGACGGAGGCGGCGTGGGCGCCGACCTTCACGACCCGTGTCCTTACAGGAAGCGTTATGCAATTACACCTGAGCAGGTGAAGGTCACCGAGAGGTCAGAGACTCACCTGGGAGCGCCGAGGTTCGTCCACACAGCGCTAATGTGGGAGAAGTTCTGGAGAACTTTGTCAAGTTGGACTGTTGCATTCATTACCTGGGAATCTCTTCAGGTAGTGGCTGAATGGGTTTTATGTAATAAAGGAAACAAACCTAGTGAAACTAACGAGGTGGGCGGAGCCTCTGGGCTTATGGGCGGAGCCTATGGGCTTATGGGCGGAGCCTCTGGGCTTATGGGCGTGGCAGGGGAGGAGCTAAAAGGGGTTAGTGACTGTCGCTGTTTTTGGCGACTTTATCAAACAGTTTATCAAAAACAACTTAGCAAGGATTTTATTGGAAGCTTTTCTGTGAAGCTCAGCAGCAGCTATCTGTCCACAAACAGGAAGTGTGTTTGGATCCCACTTCCTGTTGCCCACAAGGCAACATGTCCAGCTTCATGGTCAGATTTATATCTGAGACCAGATATTTCATTATATTTGATACAGAAACTGCAGGTCACAACTTATAAAATCATAAGTGTGGATGTAAATTTAATAACCTGATATTAATTGGATTTGGATTAAGAGTATGGCTGTAAATCCTATTTTGATTCTAATTAATGTGAGCAGATGATCAATAATCAGATTCATTCACTGATTTTCTGAGCTCTAATAACAGAGCAGCTGGTAGAAACATGATGGAAACATGAAAAGTTTCACTTGAATTAGTCCTCTTCCTCTCTGGAGGTCAAAGGTCATCTAAAATGACAGAGACCATTAAAAGTCCTTTAATGGTTTCTGCTTCCTGCAGGACACGTCTGACTGCATGAAGCAGGTCTCCAGCTGGAGCCCATGGGCTTATGGGAGTTTTTCATCGTTCTTCTCTCCCTTGTTCTTTTCTCTTGTTCTTTTCTCTCTTGTTCTTTTCTCTCTTGTTCTTTTCTCTCGTTCTTTTCTCTCTTGTTCTTTTCTCTCTTGTTCTTTTCTCTCTCGTTCTTTTCTCTCTTGTTCTTTTCTCTCTCGTTCTTTTCTCTCTCATTCTTTTCTCTCTCGTTCTTTTCTCTCGTTCTTTTCTCTTGTTCTTTTCTCTCTCGTTTTTTCTCTCGTTCCTTTCTCTCTCGTTCTTTTCTCTCGTTCCTTTCTCTCGTTCTTTTCTCTCGTTCTTTTCTCTCGTTCTTTTCTCTTGTTCTTTTCTCTCTCGTTCTTTTCTCTCGTTCTTTTCTCTTGTTCTTTTCTCTCCTTCTTTCTCTCGTTCTTTTCTCTCGTTCCTTTCTCTCTCGTTCTTTTCTCTCGTTCTTTTCTCTCCTTCTTTTCTCTCGTTCTTTTCTCTCGTTTTTTCTCTCTTGTTCTTTTCTCTCGTTCTTTTCTCTCATTCTTTTCTCTCCTTCTTTTCTCTCGTTCTTTTCTCTCTCGTTCTTTTCTCTCGTTCTTTTCTCTCTTGTTCTTTTCTCTCTCGTTCTTTTCTCTCGTTCTCTGAACTTTTTGTTTCATGAATCCTGCAGCAGGTTTTCATGTTGGAGTTGTGTGGATGTTTCTCAGCTCATCTGAAAACCTCAGCAGTCCTTTTCTCCTCCAGCCTGAGCTCCACGTTCATTTCTCTCATCTATTGAACTCCAAGCAGCGCGTCGCGCTGCTTGACCTGACAGAAAGAAGAGAGCATGCTGAATGAGCAGGAGGGAAACGAGCTTCCTGTCCGGCAGGAACAGGAACAGGAACAGGCTAACGTCTCCTCTGTGTCTCAGGTCCCGACGTCCACCACGGAGCTCAGCACCATGCTGCTGCCTCGACCTTCGTCCACCCAGGGGTCAGAGCGGAGGGGGAGGGCCATGAGCGCCGCCAGCTACCTGACCGACGTCATGGAGGGTGAGGAGCTGCGCCGCGGCCACGCCTTCATCTGCAGCGCTGCTCTTAAAGGGACAGCGTCACGCAGAATCAGCTCCTTTAGCCAAACATGCTTTTATGTTTTTCACTCAGAAACAAACAAAAAGCTTTGATTTGATTCTTTCATGCATGTTTGAGGAACTCTTTAATCTCTATGGCAACCATTCAAAACAGCTGAGTGGACCTAGCCCCGCCTTCCAGACGTTGCTCCTCCCCACTCAGCTCCTTCAGACTAGCCAGCAGCAATTAGCAAATGTAGAAGTACAACATAGAGAAGGATATTGCTGCCTACATTAAAAAGGAGTTTGGCAGCTTTATGACACACGAAACTAACAGGGTCACCTTGTGGGTCGACTTCCTGGGGGCGGAGCTTCAGGACCAGCAGGAGCTTTTAAAGAAACAGAGGCCCAATTTCCTGAAAGTCCTGAATCCTCTGTAGACCAAAGTATTGCAGAATCTGCTGCCGGTCCGTCCATCTATCCAACAGGCGAAGCTTAAATCTGGACAGAGAAAGTCTTTATGGAGAAGCTCAACAAATTGAAATCGACTTCAGTTAAAATCGTTTCAAAACTGATGGAATGACTCAGAACCGGCGCGATACTAAAGTCCAGAAAGAAAATCCACAGAAAGAAGACAGTAAACCGAGCCGCATAAACAGAACACAATAAAATGGTGGTATTAATGCAACATTATGCAGAACTGCAAGAAGAACCAGAAACATGTCAGAATCCAGGAAGCCGCCCAGCAGGCGGCGGACGGCAGCAGATTGAGCTCAACTGGGTTGTGTAAGAGAGTCTGGGTTTGTTGTGGCTCCGCCGTCCTCAGGGGAACGAGCGCTTTGTTTGTCAGAGAGGAGCGGGATGCACAGAAACTGAATGAAAGAGAGGAGAAGGAGTGTGGCAGCGTGGTCACCCTCATTTACCATGCAATCAGCCTCCTGTGTGTGTTTGTTGGCTGAGCTGAGTCACCGTCTCCCCCCCGGCGCTCGCTGCTCTTAGAGAACAGATCATTATACAGGAAAACACAAAAACCCACTGCTGTCCTCTCTGATTCATCTCCGCCCCGCTGCCGCCTTACTCCTGGATGAAATCCCTCCAGTCTGGACTCAAAACAAACTTCTGACCCATAAACTGCAAACTCCTCTGCTGCTGTGGAGAAACATCTGGAAATGTTTCACTGATTAGCAGATAAAGAGCTGCTGTGCGTCTCCATCTTTACAGAACTGGAGGAGTCCAATAAGAAGTGCCACCCCTGCTGGTACGTGTTCGCCCACCGATACCTGGTGTGGGAGTGCTCCCCCTCCTGGCTGCGGCTGAAACAGCTGGTGAAGATCATGGTGATGGACCCCTTCCTGGACCTGGCCATCACCGTCTGCATCGTCCTCAACACGCTCTTCATGGCCATGGAGCATTACCCAATGACGGACGAGTTCAACGGGATGCTGAGCATCGGAAACCTGGTAGGAGGGAAGGAGGGATGGGTGGAGGGAGGGAGGGAGGGATGGGTGGAGGGAGGGAAGGAGGGATGGGTGGAGGGAGGGAGGGAGGGAGGAGGGATGGAGGGATGGAGGGAGGGATGGATGGAGGGAGGGAGGGAGGAAGGGAGGGAGGGATGGTTGTAATGGTTGTATTTTGGGTCCAGCATCTTCTGGGTTTTCTGTAGTTGAACGTCTGGTTCTGGTTCAGAATGGGATCCGTCTATTTTCTGGGTTCTGGTTCAGAATGGGATCAGTCTATTTTCTGGGTTCTGGTTCAGAATGGGATCAGTCTATTTTCTGGGTTCTGGTTCAGAATGGGATCAGTCTATTTTCTGGGTTCTGGTCCAGGTTTCTGGATGGGGTCAGTCTATTTTCTGGTCCATGTGGCTGAACTGGGTCAGTCTGTAGAGGATTTGCTGCAGGAGTTTTTCACCAAACTAACTTTGAAGCCGTTGAGGAGGCTGATGTTGGTTGGAAGTGACAGAAGAAGAAGAAACCTGGTGTGAAACGAGCTGCAAGCCTCTCAGACCTCGGGATGAAAATAATCCTGACCTGCTGCGTTTCTAGTTAAACCAGGAATGTTTGGAGGTGAGTCAGCGTATTGGAGCTGACAGAAGCGGGTCAGCTAATGACTAGCCGCGCGGTTTGACCCCACAGACGGCCTTCAGGCCGCCGATCGTTGGTTATGCTAATTGGTTCACCTGAGGTGTGAACGGCCCTGGGCCAGAGCGCTGCACACCTGGGCAGAGCCGGTGTGTCAGCCGGCCTCAGCTGAGGAAACCAAATGCTAACGAGGTTTAAAAGTAGAAGCGACCTGCAGCTGTGTGGTTCAACCTGTGGAGCAGGGGCCTGTCGTGGTACGCTGCTGCTTCAGAGAGACGAGCTTCATGTTCCACTGATGGTGAGTTTGACTCAGAACAGATTTAAAATCCTGGTTCCGATCGATCATTCTAAGTTTAGGAAACGTCCCCATGTTTACGTTTGTGATGGTAGAGACGAACCTGATGGTTGCTAAGCGCCTCTAAGGTCTTTTATGAAGCAGATGATATCCAATCAGTGCTGATTTCTCCCATGTTGCTGGGTGTTAGCGCCGGCGGCTCAGGCCTCTTCCTGTTGTCGGTGGATTATGTAACGCCGCTGTCGCCTCGCTTCCTGTTTGATGCGGCCGCCGTTTCTGCAGCGTAAGCACTTTGGAGTTGTTGTGCGGCTCAGAAAGGTTGAAGTCTGAAGTTCCTTAGCGGATCAAACCTCTAATCCCGGCAGATGTTTGCTTAGCATTTCGGTGGCCTTTCTGTGGGCTGCGGCGCCTCTGAGGGTTATGTAAGCTGGATCATGTTAGGACGCCTCCCTGCTGACACAATCAATGTCAGCTAATGCGCTCGCTGTTTGCTTTTCAGCGGCGCTCTCTGCGTTTCAATATTTCCGTCCGAGCAAACACCTCCAACATTCAGAGGAGGCTTTTATCCGCAGAGAAGCAGCCGACCTGCGTGAGCACCGCTAACCTTTAATGCCTGTGTTTCCTGACATCCTGATTATGTTTGGAGGCCGAGCTGATTCTGTTTTCAGAGATCTTCCACTTATTTCATTCCAGCAGCGCCTTCAGATGACAGAGCAGCTGCTGCGACACGTTTCCTGGAAGCTTTGTCTTGGTTTGGAGACGAGAAAGTCTGGAAAGTTAGGAGGAAAGTGTTGATGCTGCTAAGCTTCCCTAAGGTCAGAGGTCAAAGGTCAGGGTGAGACGCTCCCTCTGGTTAGAGGCTTCCTGTGGTGTTTAGCCACCGATTCTGATAAAATGGAGCCGTGATTCAAAAACAAATAATTTCATCAGCAGAATAAAAATGTAGTTTTTCAACAATTGAAACTGATGTAATTATATATTTTATGGAAAAATTAAACCAAAAGGAACAAAAAAAACACTTCAAAATAAATCTGTCAAGAAAGAAAATGAATAAGTTTTAGCAGGTTGATATCTTCAGTCCTCTGACGGACATCAGTGTTTGCTCAGAGGCACTGAGGAAGTTCAACGATAAAACAGGAAATGTTGGTTTAATGTTGTTCAGATTAAATCAGAGACGATTTAATGAAGTTAAAACAAGAAGAACGAAACCTCAGAACATTCTGCTTAATGATCGTCTGCTGCAGCCTGCAGCCGCCTGCGTGTGTGTGTGTGCGTGTGTGTGTGTGCGTGTGTGTGTGCGTGTGTGTGTGCGTGTGTGCGTGTGTGTGGTGTGTGTGTGTGTGTGTGTGTGTGCGTGCGTGTGTGTGCGTGTGTGTGTGTGTGTGTGTGTGTGTGTGTGTGTGTGTATTGTAGTGCTGCTTACTCATTACATCTGCCTGGTTGTGACAAAAATAATCACACGTCTTCCTCATAGTCATCCTCTCTCTGCTGATGTTACTGTTATTAGTGAGTGCTGATGTCAACATCCCTGTTCAGGAGCCTACAGCACACACACACACACACACACACACACACACACACACACACACACACACACCACACACACACACACACACACACACACACACACACTGTGATGTGAATGTAGCTGCTGCTCAGTTGTGTTTCTTTCCTCCTTCAGTGAATCAGAAAGTTAGAGGAAGTCAAACTGTCATAAACCAGAGGAACCGGATCAGAACCATCAGCTGCTGGACTGTAGATCAGTATTTATTGATACTGATCTATAGATATTGATCTACAGATCATTTTCGATCCAGTTTGTTCCTGTAACATCAGTCCAAACTAAATGTCGTCTTTATAAAACTTAATTTCAGTTCCATCACACACATTCTGCCGCTCCTCATTAGAAACATTAAGTTTGTTCAGATTAGTTCAGGAAGGTTTATATGAGGCAGGGGCTCAAAGTGCGGCCCGAGGGCCATCTGTGGCCGTGGAATGCATTCATGTGGCCTTGACTTCAGTTTGAGAACAGTTCGGTTTAACTTTCAGAACGTGAAGCTGATGATGTTTCACATCTTTTATGGGTTTTTAGAATGAGATCTTCATAAATGTTATTTTTACTTTGATTAGGCCAACATACTCAGAAGAAAGTTCTCATTTTGTTGCTAAATAAAATAAACTAAAATAAATTCTTTTGCAGTTTTTAGCATTTTTAATGGAAAACATCTGTAAATCTATTGCTTTGACTTGGCGAACAGGAAGGTGTTTGATTTCATTCAGCTGAGGCCTTTTGAAGCTCATAGTTTCATATTTACTGAGTTGCATAAAGCAGCGAGTTTTTCTGCTCACTGATGCTTTGGTTGCAGGGAAGCAGCAGCTGCTGCTGATGTTTGACAGCTGAGCCGAGTTTAACTTCGTTAGCATCAGTCGGACCGACGTCAGAGAAACATGAGCGGAAAGACACGACACCATATGCAAAAACATCAACATGTAACGAGAGAGCAGAAGTAAATGATAAACTGACATTCTGAGTGTGATTAGTTAAACTGGAAACATGAACTAATTCTGTGAGCTAGAACCGGATCAGATAGATCCAGGTTTATTAGAACCATTAGAGAACATTCTGACCCTGACCCGCCTCCTCCTCCTCCTCTTCATCATCATCATCATCATCATCATCATCATCATCATCATGTGTGAGAGTTCTTCCTGATGTCAGTAATCATGAGGAGAAGCTAATCAACGCACTGCAGAGCTAATGAGCCCCCGAGGCGAGACGAGATCATCCTGGAGGCTTCACACACACACACACACACACACACACACACACACACACACACACACACACACACACACACACACACAGACACACAGACAGACACACACACACGCGCGCACACACTGATCCTAAAACACACACTGATCCTAAAACACACACTGACATGAGAACACAAACATATACAACATACATACTGCCCTGAAGAAGAACTAAACACATCTCTAAATACACACACAGTCATGCTAACACACAGTCATGCTAACACACACACATGCTAACACACAGTCATGCTAACACACACACATGCTAATACACAGACATGCTAACACACAGTCATGCTAACACACACTTGCTAACACACAGATGCTAACACACAGTCATGCTAACACACAGTCATGCTAACACACACACATGCTAACACACAGACATGCTAACACACTGTCATGCTAACACACAGATGCTAACACACAGACATGCTAACACACAGACATGCTAACACACACACATGCTAACACACAGTCATGCTAACACACAGTCATGCTAACACACACATATGCTAACACACAGTCATGCTAACACACAGATGCTAACACACAGATGCTAACACACAGACATGCTAACACATAGACATGCTAACACATAGACATGCTAACACACACAGTGATGCTAACAGCTGTAGCATGTAGCCAGTATCTGTGCGTTAAACTGGTCCTGCTGGTTTTCCTCTCTGGTCTTCATGGAGTTTCTTGGTCCAGTTTTTCTCTGCATTGTTGCTTCTGTCCATCGAGGTCACGGGGTCGCCTCGGCACATGTTTAGGTCAGTTTGAGACGATGACCTTCGACCCCTTCTCAGATTGATGGACGGTGATGTGAATCATTGCTGGAGGTTTTCCTCGCGTTGTTGATCAGAGCGTCCTGCTGGTTTCCATGGAAACCCTAGAGATGGATTCATGATGGTGTCGCCTTGGTTTCCGTATCCATGAAGCGGATGCAGTGTGCATGCTAGCAGCAGCGTGACTCCCAGCCGAGTGGCGTGGGGCTACATGCTAACTGTGTACAGTAACATTTCAGCTGCTGCAGCCACCGCTGCAGCCACCGCTGCTGCAGCCCTCTGACCTCCTGACCTCCTGACCTTCTGACCTTCTGACCTTCTGACCTTCTGACCTTCTGACCTTCTGGCCCTCTGACCTCCTGACCTCCTGACCTTCTGACCTCCTGACCTTCTGACCTCCTGACCTTCTGGCCCTCTGACCTCCTGACCTTCTAACCTCCTGACCTTCTGGCCCTGTGGCTCGTCGTTCAGCAGCTTCTGGTTTCCTCTCAGCCTCTGCAGCTTCAGGCGTCGTTCCGGGCGTCACAGTGAGGCTCAGTGTCGCTTCTCTCTCCACTGACACAAACATTCATCTATACATCTGAGTTTTATTCCTCTGATTCTATGAAATGGACCCAAATATTCTTATCAGTTACAGAACCTGGATCTGATCTGCAGAGCCTTGAAAATATGAAACATGAGGAAACGACTGAATGGACGAATTTTTCTATTTTTTCTCTATTCATCCTCTCAGGATCACATGTCTGGTTACAGCCTGATGCAGTTACTATCTGCACTGCATCACTTCTGGTGTTCATACTATTTTATAAACATTATTCATTTTAAATTAATGTTAGTAGTTACATCATTCTATTCAGACAAAACACAAAAACAAGATTTGTTTCCCCAAAAGCAGCAGTTTTGTAAATTCAGTGAATTAAAAATGATCTTTACTGCATGAAAAACAAATTTAAAATAAAATGACAAATCTGAAATGAAGTTGTGATGTTGAAGTAACTGCAGAACTGAACCAAATCAACTGAACCAAATCAACTGAACCAAATCAACTGAACCAAATCAACTGAACCAAATCAACTGAACCAAATCAACTGAACTAAATCAACTGAACCAAATCAACTGAACTAAATCAACTGAACTAAATCAACTGAACTAAATCAACTGAACTAAATCAACTGAACCAAATCAACTGAACTAAATCAACTGAACTAAATCAACTGAACTAAATCAACTGAACCAAATCAACTGAACTAAATCAACTGAACTAAATCAACTGAACTAAATCAACTGAACTAAATCAACTGAACTAAATCAACACAGTGGAAGTTATGCAAATTAAAAAATAAGAAACATTTAAAGGATTTTTGATCCGATAAGCAGCTGAACATTCTGGACTCCAGAAGGGTCAGCAGGGGTCAGCAGGGGTCAGCGGGGGTCAGCAGGGGTCAGCAGGGTCAGCGGGGGTCAGCAGGGGTCAGCAGGGGTCAGCGGGGGTCAGCAGGGGTCAGCAGGGGTCAGCAGGGTCCGCTGCCTCGCTGGCGAGCGTTTCGGTTGACAGGTTGCCTGGCAACACGAGTCGCGGTTGTTCTGCTTCAGGAGTTCTGGAGAACCGGACCCGGTTGGTGGGACTCAGAACTTTAGATGTATTCAGATGGTCTCTGTGGGTCGGTGCTGCAGTGAACCGAAGTCTGTCCAGAACCCGGCAGTTTGGTTCTGAAGACATTCTGACCGTCTGCATGGTCAGAACCGTAAATACCTGGATCAGCTTCCTCTCTACTGGGCTGGACCCCAGGTGTGACCCCAGATGTGACCCCAGATGTGACCCCGGTGTGACCCCAGATGTGACCCCAGATGTGACCCCGGTGTGACCCCAGGTGTGACCCCAGATGTGACCCCGGTGTGACACTGGTGTGACCCCAGATGTGACCCCGGTGTGACGCCGGTGTGACCCAGTGTGACCCCAGATGTGACCCCAGTGTGACCCCGGTGTGACCCCAGTGTGACCCCAGTGTGACCCCGGTGTGACGCCGGTGTGACCCCGGTGTGACCCCAGTGTGACCCCGGTGTGACGCCGGTGTGACCCCGGTGTGACCCCAGTGTGACCCCGGTGTGACCCCAGTGTGACCCCAGTGTGACCCCAGTGTGACGCCGGTGTGACGCCGGTGTGACGCCGGTGTGACGCCGTGTGACCCCGGTGTGACCCCAGTGTGACCCCGGTGTGACCCCAGTGTGACCCCAGTGTGACGCCGGTGTGACGCCGGTGTGATCCTGGTGTGACCCCAGTGTGACCCCGGTGTGACCCCAGTGTGACCCCGGTGTGATCCTGGTGTGACCCCAGTGTGACCCCGGTGTGATCCTGGTGTGACCCCGGTGTGACCCCAATGTGACCTCTGTGCTCTCTCAGGTGTTCTCGGGGATCTTCACAGCAGAGATGGTTCTGAAGATCATCGCCTTGGACCCGTACTACTACTTCCAGACCGGCTGGAACATCTTCGACAGCATCATCGTGTGCCTCAGCCTCATGGAGCTCGGATTGTCTGATGTGGAAGGGCTCAGCGTCCTGCGCTCCTTCCGCCTGGTACGTCCTGGCAGCCGCTGTGCATCACATCGCTCACACAAACTGCTGCTAAACACAGACTATAACAACTAGCAATCATGTTTCATTTTGGCGCCCGCTCTAGCGCAGCACCCGCATGCTAGCCACTGATCCTGCCTGAACCGTTTGGGTTTCTGTTAGTGGAAAACAGAACCAGATGACAAGTGATTCCCTCTGAGACGTTTGGGTTGACGGTGCGTGCCGATTGGTTGGTGCAGAGTGATGTCATTTAGCCCAAAAGTCCAGCTGTGGCCCAGTTTTGACCCGACCAGGCAGAGCGGAGCGGAGGCGTCGGCAGCAACTCGGATCTTCATCTGTCCTCACTGATCTCAGGAAGTGTCACTCTGAGGATCTGCGTCTTCCTGCAGGACCCCCATGATGAAACCCCTTCATTCTCCTCATCCTCACTGGTTGCATCTGCAGATCCTTTTTTCTTCTTCTCTGATTTATGTGACCTGATAGATGCTGCAAGAGAAGAAAAAATCTCCATTCTGCTGATATATCCAAGATAACCGGAGATTTTCTGCTTCTTTTTCAACATGTTACTCATATTTGCTTTAAAAGTCTCTAAGGATGTTTTTCCTCCTGACGGTCCGGTCGACCCGGTTCTACTGGAACCAGAACATCTGCTCCACCTCCAGCTTCTCTGAGTCAAACCAGCCTGTTCCCCTCCTGGCCTGTGGGGCGCTGCACCAACAACCACTGCAGGAACGACACTAAAACCTCTGAAGACACTGAGAGCAACTTCCTGCTTCACCAGATGAAACAAGATGGAGGCGTCAGAGTTTAGGATTTCTCTTTGGTCTTTGGCTGAAGACCAGGAGCCATTTCTGATGCTAGCGCTAGGCTAGCATGTTAGCTCTGGTTGGATTTACCCAGAATGCCCTGCTGTCGTCCACTTCCTGATATTTTGGAGCTGCTGCTCATTTTGTATTTCAGATCTATATGATCTGCATCCAGTCAGTCGGAGTCGATTGAATCATAAATGAAAAGTTTTTCTTCTTGCTGTTACCAGCTGTTGACCTCTGACCCCTGCCTCCTGTTCTGCCCTAGCTGCGTGTTTTTAAGCTGGCCCGCTCCTGGCCGACCCTCAACACGCTCATCAAGATCATCGGGAACTCCATGGGCGCCCTGGGCAACCTGACGCTGGTCCTCGCCATCATCGTCTTCATCTTCGCCGTGGTGGGGATGCAGCTGTTCGGAAAGAACTACCAGGTGGGCCGCCGTCGCCCCCCGGTGGCCGGGCCGGACGCCGGCGCCGTGTCTGACCCCTGCTGTGTTCCTGCAGGAGTGTGTGTGTAAGATCTCCAAGGACTGCGTCCTCCCCCGCTGGCACATGAAGGACTTCTTCCACTCCTTCCTCATCGTGTTCCGGGTTCTGTGCGGCGAGTGGATCGAGACCATGTGGGACTGCATGGAGGTGGCGGGGCAGCCGCTCTGCATCCTCGTCTTCATGCTGGTCATGGTTATCGGAAACCTGGTGGTGAGTTCCTCTGGGGGCCGCCAGGGGAGAAGCTGCTGCTTCTGAACCGGACCAGATGGACCCGGTTTGGGCTGTGCTGGGTGTAAAGTAGGGATGCACTGATTCCAGTTTCCTGGCTGGTTCCTGATCTTTAAAAAGAAAAACCTGCCGATTCTGACTTTGGCCGATACCGAGATGTTTTTGTCTGAAACTTTTCTAAATATACTAAAGTCACTGAGTTGGAAACAGAGGAGCGACTATTGTTACTGTTCAGACATAAGCTGGTGGGCGGGGCTAAGCTGGTGGGCGGGGCTAAGATGGTGGGCGGGCTAAGCTGGTGGGCGGGGCTAACAGACAAACTCACTGCAGAGCAGAGAGACAGCAGCTGATTTTTAAACCTTTACAGAGGAAGATCAGATCAACTTCACATTTAAGTATCTGCTAATCAGAGATCTCACAAAATTAAGGAAACCGGCCGGATGATAAACCGGCCAGATGATAAACGGACCGGATGATAAACCCGGCGGATGATAAACCCGGCGGATGATAAACCGGTGCTCCTCTAGTTGAATGTTTGCAGCGTTTCTGGCTGCTGAGGTTCTGGTTCTGGTTCTGGTCTCTTCAGTCGACCTATTAAATGTGTTTTCCTGTCAGGATAAAAATATTACTGGACGATAAATTATACCAGATTTTTATTTTCAGCTAATGGCTTACTAATAATAATAATGTAAGAACATATTATCAAATAAACTTTAAATTTCAATGAAACACTTTAATTGTTAAATGTTGGAAGACTTTGTAAATATCCCAAATAAACCAAACAACAAAGAAAATGAGTAAAATTGTCGAGTTAAGATCTGAAAACTTTTGTCATCCAGGTTTTAGTAGAAAGAGAAATCAATAAATGATGCAAATGGAAATTATTGATCTGTTTCAATGCATTTCACATATAATGTAAATACCATCACCACCAAATATTCTGAACATGTTTATATAAATCTGTTTTAGTTCAGTTAAAACTGGGCGGCTGAATTAACTAAACTTCATTCTGGTCATTTTAGTTGTTGAATTTTTGTTGTATTTTAAACATAAACTGATGGGAAACTGATCCAATCTAAATGTTTTACACAAATAATCTAATTGTTCCTCTTCCACATCATTTCAACAGAATCTGTAGAACCGTTTGAACAGATTCTGAATGGACTCAAATGGCTGAGGTTCTGATTTCTCCAGATCCGCTGTGAGGTTCTGCCTGATCTATGAATCAGAGCAGCAGCTGCTTCCTGCTGCAGAGTTCTGCTCCTGTTCTGGACGGGTTCTGCAGGAGTTCCCCTGGCCCGCTCCGATGTTCTGACCCAAAACACCGAGTCACAGCCAGGAAGCTTCTTATTTCCTCCTGGTTCTGATCAGCCTGAAGTGTCTCCGTCTCTCCGTCCGTCAGCGGATCCTAACGACTCTCCGAGTTCGCTGCAATAATTCGACTTAATAATGAGGCTGATACACACACTCACACACACACACACACACACACACACACACACACACACACACACACACACACACACACACACACTCACACACACACTCTCTCACACACTCACACACACCTCCAAATCCAGAGGTTTATGCTGACCAGACTGAAGAAAAGCACCTGAACACATCGCGGTGCGTTTGAGTCAGGATGACTGAAGCGTTCCTGTTCATCCGATTTATTCCGTTAGAAACGCTCCGATTGTGATCCGAAGATGCGGAGGCGCGAGTGTGTGTGTGTGTGTGTGTGTGAGTGTGTGTGAGTGTGTGTGTGTGTGTGTGTGTGAGTGTGTGTGAGTGTGTGTGTGTGTGTGTGTGTGTGTGAGTGTGTGTGTGTGTGTGTGTGTGTGTGTGTGTGAGTGTGTGTGAGTGTGTGTGTGTGTGTGTGTGTGTGTGAGTGTGTGTGTGTGTTTGTGTGGGACACAGTTCTTCACCCTGAGATGAAAAAATCTAATTAAAGTTCAAGTTTGTCTGAAGAAAAGAGGAAAAAGGCAAAGAAAGGAAAACGGACAACAAAAGAGGAAAAATAATTTAAAGTAAATAAAGAGACAAAATGAGAAACATGATGAGGATCCATGGAAACGACGTTACGCAACAACGATGAGAACCGTAGAAATGTTCAAACCGGGAAACAAAAAGAACAAAGAAAATTCATATGAAGCAGAAGAACTTCAGAGAAAATAATAAAAAAACAAAGAGAACAATAAATGAAGAAAAAGAGAAAAGTATGAAGACAGAGGAAACAGAAACCACAGAAGAAGAACAGGGAGTTCTTACTCCTGATGGAGGTTCTCGGAACCAGAACGTCGGACCGGACCGGTTTCACTGGGGCGGGCCGCAGTCGGTGGGTCCCGTCGGGCCGACGGAGGCAGCAGATGTTCTGCTGCTGCTGCTCATGACAAACGAGCCGCTGAGCAGATTCTGCTGAGTCAGCGTTTCACCTGCAGCACACCTGGTACCACAAACTCTTCATCCTCCTCCTCTTCCTCTCGTCAGACATGTGGAGCTCCAGATGGACTCACCGGTTCCACAGGATTCTGGGTCTGAGTCCGAATGGGTTTGTTCTGAACATTTAATCTCAGTGGAACCGACCCGGTTCGCCTCAGACTGAGATCCAGTTTGGGTCTCTGAACCACTGAGGTTCTGCAGAGGAGGACCGGTTCTGGGTCGGTTCCGATCTGGAGATGAGCTGACAGAGGAAACGGTCTGCTGGTTCTGCAGTCGGTCCTGTCAGGGTCCGGTTATTGACCACTGGAAAGCAGGAAGGTCATTGGTCAATACGCAGGTTGCCATGTTAGCCAATCAGAATCATTGATCTATTGGTGGTGGATTACACAACCAATCAGACGGCAGCGATTTGGGTCAGCAACAAAGATCAGTATCACACACAATGACAACAAACAGCTGGGATCAATACACACACACACACACACACACACACACACACACACACACACACACACACACCTACCCCCCCCCCCCCCCACACACACACACCTACACACACACACACACACACACACACACACACACTACACACCCCCCCCCCCCCCCACACACACACACCTACACACACACACACACACACACACCTACACACACACACACACACCTACACACACCCCCCCCCCCACACACACACCTACACACACACACACACACACCTACACACACACACACACACCTACACACACACACACACACCTACACCCCCCCCCCACACACACACACACACACACCTACACACACACACACACACACACCTACACACACACACCAATACACACTCACACACACACACACACACACACACACACACCTACACACCCCCCCCCCCCCCACCACACACACACCTACACACACACACACACACACACACACACACACACACCTACACACCCCCCCCCACACCTACACACACACACACACACACACACACACCTACACACCCCCCCCACACACCTACACACACACACACACACACACACACCCCTACACACACACACACACACACACACACACACACACCCCTACACACACACACACACACACACACACACACCTACACACACACACACACACACACACACACACACCTACACACACACCTACACACACACACACACACACACACACACACACACACACACACACACACACACACCTACACACCCCCCCACACACACACACACACACACACACACACACACACACACACACACACACACACACACACACACACACAGACAGGATCATTATTATGACATGTGAAACTTTGGATCAGATCTTTGCAGCCAGAAAATGACATCATTTAAATGTTGTTACACTAAAACAAAACAATATTTTATTTTCAGTTTTTTGGTTTAAAATGAAGAAAAACTGAAATGTTTTGTGAAAAGTGGATTAAAGTGTTTTGTTTGGTGGGATGTTGATTTTTATTGGAAATATTAGTGAATAAAAACAGGTTTAATTCACTGTAACAAAATTTGTTTTCATATAATTCAAAGTGTTTCTGGAGCTGCAGGAAGTAAAGCAAACATGGAGCCGCTTGGTGTCACTTATTGACCCAGTGGCCCGGTTTCCAGCAGCTGCTGGTTGCTAGCTAACCACCATCCCGCCGCAGGGCTGATGGTCATCAGCTCCATGTCAGATGATGAAGGAATCAGGAATCATGAAGGAATCAGACGTTTTGTTTTCATTTCTGTCTGGTTTCTACATCACTTCCTGTTCCTTCACGTCTTCTGGTTCTGCTATAAACCGGTTGCGTTTAGCTGAGACGTGAGCGGTGTTGGGACGTGTTTCGGGTCAGAACCGGCTGTGACTCCGCCCCCTGCGCTCTGCTCTGTCTGCAGCTGCTGAACCTCTTCCTGGCTCTGCTCCTCAGCAGCTTCAGCTCCGACAACCTGTCCGCCCCAGATGAAGACGGGGAGATGAACAACCTCCAGATCGCCATCCACCGGATCACCCTGGGCCTGGGCTGGTGCCGCCGACAGGTACTGCTTGTTCTGACCCACCGGTTCTGACCCACCGGTTCTGACCCAACGGTTCTGACCCAACGGTTCTGACCCACCGATTCTGACCCACCGGTTCTGGGGTTCTAGGTGGTGGACTTCTTCAACGGGAACCTGAAGCGGCGCCGGCAGAAACGAAAAGAGGCCAAAGCCATGATGAAGCTGAAACGGCTGAGCACCGTTCACACCGAGGTCAACGGCGCCGCCATCGGTAACACACACACACACACACACACACACACACACACACACACACACACACACACACACACACACACACACACACACACACACACACAGAGTTTGGGTCTGGACAGAACCAGAAACCGACGTGACCCGACTGTTCCAGGCCGCCATGTGGAGAAGTACGTGGTTCCGGAGGACGACAGCTACATGACCAACCCCAACCTGACCATCAGCGTTCCCATCGCCCCCGGAGAGTCCGACGTGGAGTTCCCTGAGGAAGAGGAGGATGAGGAAGAGGAGGAGGGTCAGGAGGAGCAGAGCGAGGGATCAGAGGGAGACGAGGAGAGAGAGGAGGAGGTGAGGACCCGACCCGACCCGACCCGACCCCTGCAGATAAACAATGAAACTGATGAACCTCCTGCATGATCAGCTGGTGATTGATCAGCTGGTGATTGATCAGCTGGTGATTGATCAGCTGGTGATTGATCAGCTGGTGATTGATCAGCTGGTGATTGATCAGCTGGTGATTGATCAGCTGGTGATTCATCAGCTGGTGATTGATCAGACGTTTCTGATGTTGGTCTGGAGGATGAATCTCCAGAGAAGTCTGGATTACATTTCTCCATCCCAACTCAGAATCATTTCAGCGCCGGTTCCGGGGAACGCGGCGGCGCCGATTCCGGCGCCGGTTCCTGCTGGTTGTGTGTAGCAGCGAAGCAGCAGGAAGTGTGTGTGTTCCTAACAGGAAGTGACTGATTTGTGTCGTGCATGTGTTCTGTGCTGACTCGGTCCGAGTCCGTCGGGCCCAGCAGGATGTTCTGGTTCAGGTGGTTTCTGCAGGATTTCAGCTGTTTGAGTGTATATTCCGGCGCGGTTCTGGTCCGGGGCGGTTCTGGTCCGGGGCGGTTCTGGTCCAGGGCGGTTCTGGTCCGGGCCAGTTCTGGTGGGATCTCGCTGTAGCTCCTCAGAGGTTCTGCAGCTGCGGCGGCCCGGTGTTCCAGCGTCATCAGAACCTATTATTGTTCCTGCAGAGGATAAATGAAGGCAGGTTCTCCAGCTGCTCCGTTTGGGTCCAGACCCGGAAAGTTCTGACACGCAGATTCTTCACGCCGCTTCGTCTGAGTGCTGCTCGCTGGATCAGCAGCCTGAGGGTGAAAAATGCTCTGAGACGGTGAGCGCCGGCCCGGTTCTGACCCAGATAGGCAGGTGAGCGGCGCTGCTGCTGGAGGGGATGAGTCAGCGGCCCGGTTCAACTGCGGTTCCGACTCCGGGAGCGGGTCCGCTGAGCGAGCAGAGCATCGGCCATCTGGGTGTCGGTTCTGATAGGTTCTGGTCAGAGTTACGGTCCGGTTCTGTTCCTCAGTTTCAATAGTTTGATGATTTTTACTTTAGTTTGGACTGAAAAAGAAACGCAGAGCAGAGAAACAGAACCAAACAGAACCAAACGGAACCAAACAGAACCAAACAGAACCAAACGGAACCAAACGGAACCAAACAGAACCAAACAGAACCAAACGGAACCAAACAGAACCAAACAGAACCAAACGGAACCAAACGGAACCAAACAGAACCAAACAGAACCAAACAGAACCAAACGGAACCACTCTCCAGACCTTTTTCTGTGAAATAAGAGCTGGAACATGAAAACCCAGCAGGTTCTGGCCCGGTTTGGACCGGACCCGCCGTGTTTCTGCACCTGGAAGTGACTCAGTGAGGCTGTGATGACCTTTGACCTCTGCAGGTGTCGCAGCCGCAGGTGGAGGCTTTGATTCGTCTCTGTGAGGAACATCAAAACCATCAGAACAGAGAAACCCTGACCTGGACCAGAACCAAGGGCATCAAATACAAACAGAACCAAAACATTTTTTATTTTCTCATTTTTTAGGTTATTAATATTCATTTATTTGATCATAAATTTTAAAATTCTCCTTTGGCTGAAATCTGTGCCGGTTCTGTCCAGGTTCTGTCCCGGTTCTGTCCCAGCAGCCGGTTCTGTCCCGGCTCTGTCCCGGTTCTGTTGGTTCTGCTGATCAGATTCTGGGTCTAACTGGACCGTCTGTCTCCGTCCGTCTCTGATCTGCTGCTTGTTTTTTCTTCTTCTGTGGTTTAGATGAATGACGTCCCGTTTTCTGTCTCAGCAGAAACCGTCGCTCTGACGGATGTTGCTCTGTGCTTGTTAGCGCTGCGCCTGTTAGCGCTGCGCTTGTTAGCGCTGCGCTGTCCCTTTAAGAAAAGATGGATGTGGGGAAATGAGCATCTGTTTCCATGGTGACGGATAATGAGCCAACGCTGCGTTTTTACCTGAGGACAAAAGGACGGCGATTTATTGTTTGGTGGTCAGAGCGGAGCAGCAGGCTCCGCCCACCACACCTTTATAACTTCTAATCAATAATCAATCACTTCCTGTTGGACCTGACGCACAGGAACAGCCTTTAAATTCATTTGGGTTTACTGTCAGAACCAGATCCAGGACCGGATCAGGCAGAATTATTCGCAGTCCCACCAGTTCAACCCAACTCCAGTCCGTTTAGAAAGTCCGGTCCGGTTGGTGAGGTGCTAACGCTAAGCTAACTCAGGTCAACCGGACCATCAGGAGGAAAACGATCAATAAGGGATGAAGGTTCTCATGCATTTCATATGAGCTGGTTGCTCTCTGTTTGGGTCGGCCCGCAGAACTCCGGTTCCTCCGGTTCTGTCCCTGAACCGGACCGGTCCTCCGTTTTCTTGTGGCTCGGATCCACAAACTGAAATACATTTAAACTCCTCATTACAGACATTTAGCTGTCAGCAGGCGGCATTATCCACCCTGCTGTGCACGACTCTGGGAGCGTGTGTGTCAGAGATTAGAGAGAGAGGGTGTGTGTGTGTGTGTGTGTGTGTGTGTTTGGCTTCACCTCTGCCTGCGTTTGTGTCCAAGGCTGCTGGCATTTGTCACAGTCGCTGCTCTCTGTTCTCAGGCTCTGAATGTATTCATGAGTGGCTGTTGACTCAGGTAGTTAGCTCACCTGTTCACACACACACACACACACACACACACACACACACACACACACACACACACACACACACACACACACACACACACACACACACACACACACACACAGGAAGGTCTCTGCCGTTTCTTTGTCCAGACAAAAGACGGCCCGTCCAGATTTCTCTCCCTCCGTCCTCAGCAGGATCTCATCCCTCCATCGTCTCTTTGTGGGAGTTAAACTCCCATGATGCTCAGCAAACTGGGACTTTTAAAGTCAGCTGGGATTGATGCGGCGGGGTTTGGGGTTTCCTGTTGTCCTGGTTTTAAGTGGACAGACGGTGGTTTTCCTGTGCTTTGGAAGCTGAAGGTTCTGTGTGGTGCTGCCAGGAATCCTGCCGGTTCTGAACGGTTCTGACTCATTCTGCAGGGAAACGAAGCGGGTCTGGGCTCAGAAACAGGATAAGAAGTTTATAACACAAATACTGAAGTAATTCAGGCTGGAGCCAGGCTGGTAGAAACCGGGTCTGAACCCGATCCGGACCGAGTCCTGGCCCGGTCCGGACCGGGTTCTGACCCGATCAGCTCATCACATGGTTGCTGTGGTTTCTCCAGCAGAAAGAAGAAATCAGCCTATCAGAGGGCAGCACAGTGGACCTGAGGAAGCCTGGCGAGGAAGAGGACGAGTACTCAGAGCTGGCCGAAGAGGCCATGGACCCGGACAACTGCTTCCCTGACGGTAGGAACCGGCCCGGTTCTGCAGAACACACCCACCTGGACTGTAGGGCGCTGCAGGTCTGTCCAATTCACACAAACTCATAAATCTGAGTTGATCCAAAAAATGATTTATTATCATCAACCTTTAACAAAATGTCTCTGATGGTTGATTCCAGCGGACATTGTGTCTCTGATGTGTTTTTGCCTCTTTCTAATATTTTCTGGAGGATTTTGGATCCATTCGGTTCAGAAAAACCTTTTGCGTTATTGTTGTCCTCTCCAGTTTTCTATCTCTGGAGCAGCCGGCAGCCAGAGTTACAGATATTAATCAACAATAAGCTGCGTTGGCGTTTGAGAATCCAGGACAAACAGATGAAACTAAAACAAACTCCAAACAGAAAAGTTGCTGCAAATCCTCAGAGAGCGATGAGTGTTTTTATTATTGAGTCTGTGAAGGTCTATCCCCGCGCATCGTCTCACCTTCAGCACATCCCCCCCCCCAGTCCCCCCCCAGTCTCCCCCCAGAACCCCCAGAACCCCCAGAACCCCCAGAACCCCCAGAACCCCCAGTACCTCCACCCACTTGGCCCAAAACTCTCACCGTAGATTTATGACTGTGTTCCTACTAACCCAGGTGAGAAGCAAACACCTTGGTACTTCCTGACTCAGCCGCTTTCCTCCAGCAGACATTTGTCTCAGACGCGCTGAGCGGTATCCGCGGTAACAACAACCAGTAAACCTGATGGATGACCTTCATCAGGTTCAGCAAAGGTCACCGCTGTTTCTACGCAGACGATCTGCTGCTGTTAGCCGCGACTGAAAAACCCACAGGAAGGCAAAATCTGGCCTGTGATACAACAACAGTTATTTCATCTTTGGCTTTTCCATCATGAAGTCTCTACTGAGGAATGAACACATGAATCACATGAATCACATGAATCACATGAATCACATGAATCACATGAATCACATGAACACATGAATCACATGAACACATGAATCACATGAACACATGAATCACATGAATCACATGAACACATGAATCACATGAACACATGAATCACATGAATCACATGAACACATGAATCACATGAATCACATGAACACATGAACACATGAATCACATGAACACATGAATCACATGAATCACATGAACACATGAATCACATGAACACATGAATCACATGAATCACATGAATCACATGAATCACATGAACACATGAATCACATGAACACATGAATCACATGAATCACATGAACACATGAATCACATGAACACATGAACACATGAATCACATGAACACATGAATCACATGAATCACATGAACACATGAAACACATGAATCACATGAACACATGAATCATATGAATCACATGAACACATGAACACATGAATCACATGAACACATGAATCACATGAATCACATGAACACATGAATCACATGAACACATGAATCATATGAATCAATGAACACATGAATCACATGAACACATGAACACATGAACACATGAATCACATGAACACATGAATCACATGAATCACATGAACACATGAATCACATGAATCACATGAACACATGAATCACATGAACACATGAATCACATGAACACATGAATCACATGAATCACATGAATCACATGAATCACATGAACACATGAATCACATGAATCACATGAATCACATGAACACATGAATCACATGAACACATGAATCACATGAACACATGAATCACATGTGTATCACAGATTTGAACAAACATCATGGTTAATAATTCATAAAATCTGTAACAATTCACAATTCGTAGCAGTTGACATGGATTTATATTCATCCCCCTCTCAGTCTGACACCCAGAAATAAAACCCAGAACAACCAGTTCAGTCATCAGCAGCAGACCAACCAGAACCAGAACCAGAACCTGCAGCTTGTTGTTCCATGATCTACCAATCTGCTCCAGATCTTTGCTTCTTTGCTTCTGGTTTCTGTTTTCCGCCGCTCCTTCTGTTGCTCCGGCCCGTTTTCAGGAAGCTGACAAACATCGGTGATGTAAAGAGGCGACAGACTGCAGCCGCGGTCGCCTGCTGCCTAATTACCCAGATTACATCATCACTTCCTGCCCGGCCTGCGGTTGTCGCAGCTCAGTTTGTTCTGCAGCCACTGAAAGTTTCCCCGTCCACATCCCCCCGCTTGGCCCGATACTTTCACACTAGATTTATGGTTTCCTTGTGACGGCCCAGGTGAAAAGCAAACACCTTGCTTCCTTCCTGACTCAGCCGCTTTCCTCCCGGAGCGCAGAGATTTGTCAGCGTGGATCCGATCCGCGCGGCAGCAGCAGCCTGAACGACCACACAGCGATAAAAACTCAACAAATTCAGGAATTTAGATGAGCCTCTCAAGCTTATTACTCATAAACCCCCGAGAGGAAGAACAATGAGGACAGCCAGCTGGAAAACCCTCAGTGAAGAACAAAGCGGCGCAAACGGAGCCGAACACCTGCAGAACCTCCATCACCGGCACCGAGGTGCCGCTCTCCGACCTGGATCCATCCGGCAGGACCGGCTGGTTCTGGACGCTCACACACTGCTGGAGGAACCAATCAGACGCAGGAACACACTTCCTGATTTAATCTCACAAATTCATTAGAACCCGGTTAAAGAAACAGAAACAGACAGACTTTATAAACCTTAATGTCTCCAACATTTAATACAAATATTAAACACTAAAGTTTCTAGTTCTAAAGCTAAACTTAAGTGACTGATATTAATATTAATAGTTATCTGTAGTTCACTTTTGTTTTATTTCAAGTGATTTTAAATATTTGTAGTAGAAATTAAACCAAAACTGTTTAGTGTTTTTGCAGTGTTGATTTCTGTATTTAAATCTAATTAAAGATGTGAAACACGGATAGATATGAACTGTAACTGTTTCATCAAGTCCTGTGGAGAAAAACCCTGAAAATGATTCATTTCATTTCAGTTTCCTGCAGCTTCAAACTAGCTCCTCTTCATTCTAACACAAATGTTTCAGTTTGGGCTCCAGGACTCGGAGCTGAAGCCGTGAAGCGCAGCCAGCAGTCGGACGCACAAAAAGGTCAGAAGCATAAAACCGAGCGGAGGCAGGAACAAAGCGCTGCTGGCGTCGGGACGGTTCTGGGCCAAGCAGCAGATGTGCTTTGATTCATTTAGAAGACGGATCGTCCATCAGCTCCGTCCCAACACCGCGGCGTCTCCCTGATTCAGCACAGTCCTTCGCAGCAGGCGGACATTTGTCATCGGCTGGACCCGGATCGGCTGGACCCGGATCGGCTGGACCCGGATCAGCTGGACCCGGATCGGCTGGACCCGGATCGGCCGCCGGAGCGCCGACAGGAAGGTCGGCTCTTCTCCGCTGAAACGCTGAAGAATCGCAGTGGATGGAGACGTTTGGATCTACCTGCTGGAAGGACAGCAGCTTCACATTCCGTCTCGCCGGCACCAGCTGATCCGGACCTCCAGCGAGCAGCTGGGCTGACTCAGCGCCGGCCGCTCAGACCGGACCAGTAGCACCAGTCTGCTGACTCAGCGCCGCTCCTGCAGGCAGCTGGCTGCAGAAGGAGGCCAGGAAGAGTCTGGCAGCTGCAGGAGCAGCTGGAGGTCAAACATCCAGGGAGCCTTTTGGGTTTGAGCCACAGAACCGGTGCTGGCCTGGTCCGCCGGTCCTCATGTCGGGTCCGATCATAACGCCGTCATCGCCCTGAAACATCAGGACAAACATCAGTCCAGGTGCTACAGACCGAACCGTCGGCTTCCTGAAGTGAGACGACGAACCGACCACCTGGGAAGGGTCAAAGGTCATCCATTATTCTCCAGAAAATCTCTATCTACAGGCCTCAGTTAACAGGTCTAAGGTTAAAGGTCGTGACCCTGAACGTCTGGCTGCCCCATCTTTCTAGAAACAAGATGGCCGCCGGCCTGCAGTCAGCAGCAGGAGGGGGACGAGACTCCTGGACGATGTCCCCGGACAGATGTTGGACCAGGCACGGTGGGGAGGGGTCATGCTGTGGTTCTGAAGTCCAGAACCGTTGGACAGAACCACAGAGTCCAGTTGATTCCTGTTTTCATCAGGATGTGGTCAGACGGTACAGTTGACCAACATGAGGCTCCAGCAGCCAGTATGGACCTGTGGTTCCTCCACTACGGACCTCCAGGTTCTACCGGGTCAGGTTAACCGGCTTATCAGTGGAAGGTCCGGTCCGGATTCTGTGGGTTCACCATATTCTCCTGAGAGCTCTGTGTTATATTTAGCCGCTGGAGCCGCTGAGGTCTGCGAGCTGCCAGATGGCGCCGGAGCGCCGACCTTTTCCAGAGGGAGGTTTGGGTTTTTCAGGACGTTATGTAATCCTGGAGCTCAGCGGCGCCACCGCCTGCTCACAGCCAACAGATCCAGAGTTTCTCCCAACACGGCCATCTTTGTTCCTGGCATGGTCCAGTGTGGTTTGGTCAGAACCAGCAGCGTTTCTCCCTGCGGCTCCTCCTAGCTGTCAGGAAGACCGAGAGCACGCCGCCGCACCTGCGCTCATTATTATTATGGTTCTGCACAGAGAAGAACCTCAGCCCACCGGGAGGCGCCGACGAGCCGGAGGCGCCGGGCAGAAAGATGGAGGCAGTGACCTTCGGCCTGCATGCAGGAGGAAACACCATCAGCTGGAGGGAGGAACAGAACCGCTCAGTTTGTCATAAAAGCAGCAGAAGAAAATGTCTCAGATGAATATCCCCGTTAGAAACAAACGCCTGACAGCAGAAGAAGAAAACACGACGAGTTAAAACCTCGTCAAACTCGAAGCTTTTTCTGAAATGTTGGTTCCAAACCAGCAAAACGTTTCATCCACATGGAAACAAAAATAATCTGATTTTACTCCCCAGACCTGCAGGTTCCCCTGTTACCAAGTTATTCTGCTGCTTGGACACCAGGTGGCAGTAATCAGCACAAACAGGTCCTTTAAAGTCTCCAAATGACAGAACTAAGTTACAACAACTCATCATTCA